TTTTTTTGTACATAATTTTAATCATTAAAAATATATTTTTATATATTCAATACCCACGCTTCACAATATTATTAAAAAAACTTTTACATAATTGAAAAAAAATTTCAATATATGTTTATTTTCATAAACTATCAATAATTTTTTACATTCAATTTGGTCCTAAGCATGATATTTACCTTGCGTTAAATATGATTAAAAAAAAACGTAATAATTGCATTACTTTATGTATATATAGGAAAAAAGGTATCGGATGCAAGTGCAACCCAACACCACCTGCCATATTATTGTCTTCTTCAACCAGACTATTTTGGTGATTTCTATAATACCATTACACTTTTCACACACTTTCTCTTTTTCTTTCACTCAAAAGGTTTACCACGGCAYGTATTATGTATTATGTTTGTAGCACCAATTTATGTGCATTATTATATTTATACTCCAATGAATCGTACTAAACTGAATGTGTTTGAATTATGGTCTACAAGATGATTGCTCCAATATCTGTACACATAGTTAACTGTACACGGAATTAGCTCTATACCTACGATCTTCATATTATTTATCAAAAAAAAATAGTTGAGTCTTCAAAAAATATTTATTAATCATAATGATGTGCAAAGTTGTATTTTGAGAAGCACAATGGCGTTTAGAATTTTGATTATTGAATTTTATAAAATAAAAAATAGGTTAGCCTATAGTGAACGTAGTACACCAAACAAATTGATTGAGATGGTTTAAACCTTTGTGTCCCAAGAACATATATATATATATATATATATTATATTTTGTTGAATACGCTTGCTTTGGCATAATTGTGTGTTTTGTTTTTTTTTTCATTTTTTTTCGTTTTGTTTTTCCGCAGCTAAAAATTTTGCCATCGAAGAAATAACTGACCGTTATTTACCCAGATTTGATGATTATAATCCTAAGGAATGCTGTGAAATGCCATCCATTGCGTTGGAATTCCAAGAACTGACATTGAAATCGCAAACCCAAGAGACTACAACGAAGAAAGAGAAAAAAAATGAACCCGAATACTTTTATTTCCCCCTCGATTATGGATCACATCCGACATTAGAAGAATTGAATGCTCTCCCTTTTATAGAAGATCTTCACGAATCTGTGTTGAAGGGTTTTTCATTAAAATTAAACATTGATTAAAAATGTGCATACAATTCTTCCCTCATTTTCATGTAAAAATTATTGATGTTCTAAAGAAATTAAATCACTATTTCGGCTCTATCCAAATAAGTACACACATAATTAGTAATGTGTTTAACTATACAATAATTGTATAACAGCTAYTTTGCCCTCTCTCTTCTGTCTGTTTCCATATTACGTATGTATAATATATTAATATATTTTATTATGTATACAACGTTGAGTATGGTTAACTTCCCATGRAACAACGTCTTATAGTATATGTACCAGATATATAGCTGATAATCGGTTTTTTTTTTTTTTGACATTTTATCTTCAAATTTGCTTATATTATTTTTCTGCAATTTCACAAGCTTTTTTTATCTATGCCAAAACTATTTTATTGTTTATCATCTTGGCCGTTTATTTTATAACTCAGAAATTATTGAGAGATTTTTAATATATCGTAATTTTTCAGTAGAATGCAAAATATAGTTTTTTCTGCCATGTAATTTTTTCGGCRWTTCCTTTTTGTATCTGAACAATTTTTTTACATTAACTTAAATTAATCGTTTTTATCTCTTACGATTTACATAATTTATTGAATAATTACACAAGCATATTATATTATAATATTTATTTATTTTTTATGTTACGACATTGCTGGAAAGTAGTATCAATTACTCTTAGGTGACATGCGTAAAAATTTACAATTTTTTATTAACACTTTAAATTTATACAAATCATTGATTTATGTTACGCTAAATAATATTGATACACAATAAAATTAAATATACCTACATATACTATTTCAAAATCTCAACCTGAAATAAATTTAATTTGATCATTTTTCTACTATTAATTACTTTGTTTGGACTGAGTATATAGATGAAARTATACTCAAATATTCTGTTCAATATATTTCTTAGATTTGTTAATGATTCATTAAAATTAAGTTATCCCATCCATGCACAATATTCTTTTTTCAAGATTCATAATAGTGTAATATACTAAAGTTGTGTCTGTGCTTATAACTTTTTCTCATGTATAAATACTTTACTTTCTACATAATATAAACACATACACACTCATAAATATATTTATTGGTTCCCTATACAATTGTAATTTTTTTTTTATGTATTTAAATTACATTRGAAACTATGATTTGATGTAGGTTAATATTATAGTTTTATTACTATAAACTATAGGTTTATAAAGTACTTACTATACAAATAAATTAATGGTATACATTATTTTCTTTTTTTGATAGCGTGTTCTTGTTGTGTATAAGGAGTAGGACCCCGTAAAGCATGTTTATCGAAATTCTTAATCTAGGCTTTATAGTTT